GCGAAGATTCAAAGCTAAAAGAGCTTGAATCAAAGAAATGGTTTTATCTATCTTATTATTACAAGATTTTTGAGCTTGTTTGAGTCCACACATGGCTTTATGCAGCATGTATAGCTTGCTTTCTTCGCATCGTTTCACAAATCCAACCGGTTGTGCAACATAAACTTCTTCATCTAAGGGCCCATTTAGGAATGCATATTTCACATCCATTTGAAATATATGTTTTTCATTCATGTCTGTTGGACTAACCACCAACTTGATTGTTTCGATCCTAGCAACATGTGCAAAAACCTCGTCGAAGTTAATTCATTCTTTATGAAGAAATCCTTTCGCTATAAATCTTGCATCGTGTTGAGTTACTTCTCATTTGAGATTCATCTCCACCTTGCTTACCCACTTCACATTGATTTCCTTCTTGCCTTGAGGCAATTCGACAAATGACCAAGTGTTATTGACTTCGATGGACTTCAGTTCCTCATTCATTGCTTTCATCCACTTCTAATCCCTCAATGCCTTAACTGCATTGACTAGCTCAATATCTGCATAGAAAACATAATGTACCATCTCACCTTCATCATCGACCATATCATCTGATGTAATCACACATTCTTGCAACCCTAAATACATTTGTCTTGTTCTTTGAGGTATGCTTATGCTTGCTTGACCTCTGACATTTTATTGTCAAACTTATCTTTCAACTTCACTTGTTGGTTCTTCACACAGGATTCTCACTCAATTCTTCTTGAAATTTTCATTCTAATCTCATTCCTTAATCTTATCTATGATCTCGTCCCTGCTGATAACTAATTGCTTGTTTACTGGGTTGAACAACTTGTATCCTCCAGTCAAATGATATCCTATTAGGATCATTTGACTTGACTTGTCATTAATTTTCTTCTCAACTGATCAAGAACATGTCTATGTGTTATATATTCAAATACCTTACTCAAGTTAGGCATGATACCAGACCAACATTCTTCTAGCATGATTCCTTCTAGCTTTTTCGTCGAACATCTGTTCAGTATGTATGTTGCAGTCGACACAACTTCTCCTCATAATTCTTTGGGTAAATGTGTGCCTTTCAACATACTTCTAACGATACTCATGATGGTTTTGTTCTTCCTTTATGTAGTTACATTATGTTGTGGAGTGTAAAGTGGCACCACCTCATGCATAATCACTTCTTTCACACATAATGTGTCGAAGTCTTTCAACACATATTCTCCACCACCATCAATCCTCGAAATCTTAGGCTTTCGACCACTTTGTCTTTCGATCATAGATTTAAACTTGGAAAATACCTCGATCACTTCATTGTTCTTCTTGATTAGGTAAGTCCATAATTTTCGACTGAAACCATCTATGAATGTGACAAAGTATCTGTTACCTTTAATTGAATCCACCTAGATAGGACCAGACACATCCGAGTATTTGACTTCAAGAATTTCCTTCGACTGGCTTCCTGCATCCTTGCTGAAGCAATTCTTGTGTTGCTTTCCCTGCACACATTCTTCACATACTTCATTTGAAATGTCAATTTTTGATAATCCTGAAAACATATTTCTCCTCTTTAGATCTCTGATGTCTTTGAAGTTGAGATGACCTAGTCGATAATGTCATATCCATTCATCCTTGCTAACTGCAGCTGCAAGGCACTTGTGTTCTATCACATTAAATTCAATCTTGAAGGTTCTATTTTAAGACATATGAGCATTAAAGATTAAACTTCCAGTTGGGTCGAGAACTCTTATTATCTTGTCTTCGAATGAAACTTTGTAATTCTTTTTTATCAACTACCTTATGCTAAGCAAATTACTCTTCATGTATAGTATGTATACTACATTGGAAATTACTAACCTTTTTCCATCTTTCTTCATAATAAGAACATCACCAATACCTTTAGCTGCTAGGGTATTGTCATTTGAAAATTTCACCATGTTCTTCATTGAGGGTTTTATGTTGACAAACAAATATTTCCTTCAAGACATGTGTGATGAGCATCCTAAGTCCAAGTACCATTAGTCCTTGAATCTTTCTTCATCTATTGTTGTGACTATCATCAACATCTCTTATTCTTCATGCTTTTCCAGCCTTGCATCATTTTCTTGATTATTTTGTTTTTTTAGGATAATCACTAGAGTAGTAACCATACTTCTGACAATTGAAACACTGGATGTGACTTTTGTCAGGTTTTCTTCCATCACCTATTCCTCTACCAGCACCACCACCTCTATGGTTACTTTGGTATGAGGATCTTGTTAGAACACAGATTGGTTCTTATGAATATCTCTACGTTTTGATGATAACTCTTATGAAATTTTGTATTCAAGAATTATATACTCTAAAAGTTGTTTAAGAATGTTTGCTGCAGATATTAAAGTGAATATCATTTTGGAAGCAAATTAGATCTGAACATGAAAAATATGCAAGGCTCTGAAGCCTCAGAAGCACCTCTTAGAAGATTCTGAACGCTGCCTACAAAAGGTTCTGAGCGCTGTCTACAGAAGGATTTGAAGCAGAAGCTACAGAAGAATCTGAAGCAGAAGCCAGAAGCATCTGAAGCATTGAAGAATTTTGTATGAAGAGTTTCAAGCACAGTTATTCAGAAGACTCTGATAAGTACTACGCTGCCAGTACTGAAGATATGATCCCAAACTATGCTCTGAACAATTACACGCTGTTAGCACACATGCTGCAAAGACTCTGATTCAGCAAACTCTAATGTACATCAGAAGACTCTGACTGCTCAAGACTCTGATGTTACTTTGCTGAAACTTGTTGAAGAAGAATTCAAACTTATGTCCATTGGTATGGCCAAACGACTCTTTCCTCTTTTATGCTAGACACAAGAACACAGACAAAAAGGATTTCTCTGTGCATTCTACTTCTAGGAAAGGTCATGTGATGTGAAGACAAAAAAGGCTCAGACCTTTTTAGTACATAGCCTTCAACGTGAAAGACTACGTGGACCTCTGTGACTATAAAAGCAAGACTCCATCACTCTTCTTCAGTTGACGAAACACTGAAAGAATTCATTACAAGCTCTCATACAATTTATTCTCATTAGCTGAATTTATTTCATAGTTCTTAAATCTTAAGTGAAAAATCACAGTTGTGATAAAGCTTAATTAGAAGCATTTAAACACTTGTATTTATTCTTACATTTGATTGTAAAAGATCCTTAAGAAGATCCAGTTGGGATCAGTAGTTCTTAAGAAGACTAAGAAGAATTGCTCTTAGTGCTTACTATTGTAATAAGTTGATTTAATAGTGGATTAGGTCCTTGTTGAGAAAGGCAAATCACTCTTGATAGAGTGGACTGGAGTAGTTGTGTTCAACGAACCAGGATAAAAATTCTTGAGTTTTTATTGCTATAAGCTTTTCTACATACTTATTCAACCACCCTTCTAAGTATTTTCTCACCTTCAGGTCTTATTTGATTCAACGAGTTTCCTTCTTGATGTTTTCCTCTGCCAGTCGAACTATTGTAGCCTTCTCTACCTTTATTGTTGAACCATTTTCCCTTTCCTTTCTTGTCTCTTACTGATTGTGCATGCAAAGCCAAATCACTATTCAACTCGCTTGTAACTCTTTCAGTCATTCTTTGTTCATGAGATTCAAGCGTCTTTTAAAGCTCATCCTTTGTCGTTATGGACAAACCTTTCGACTCTTCTATGGCTACTACTACATGGACGAACTTTGGAGCCAATGACCTCAAGATCTCTATGATAACTGATCTTGATGTTAACGCTTCTCCATATATATTGATCTGATTCACTAGTTTCGTAACCCTAGTGAAGAAATTAATTATGCTTTGACTTTCTTCCATATGAAGGAATTCGTACATTCTTTATTGAGTTTGTAACCTTATATCTCTCACCTTTTCAGCGCCTCTAAACGATTTCTCCAAGATTTCCCATGCTTCTTTCACCGTTTCTACATTACGGACCTTTTTGAAATTATCCAGATCAACGCATTGATGAATCATAAAGAGAGTTTTATAATCTTTCTTCTTTAATTATTCGTGTACAACCTTTTCTTCATTCGTTGCGTTTTCTGCAAGCGACATCACTCCCTCCTTCACAAGATCCCAAAGATCTTGATAGCAAAAAACAATCTTTATCTGCTTGCACAATTCTTGTAATTCTGATTCTTCAGAATTAGGAGACTCATTGGAAAATGTCCATCCAGATGATTCATTGTACTATGCTTCCCAAGAATCACACAACCATACTCTGATACCAGATGTTGGAATTACACCAAACATGTGGAGAATTATGAATCAATCACACCGAGCGATTTCGCCTCTTGTTCTTCACTCAAGTGAATCGACCACACCTTGGTTGTAAGATGATTCCGCTGCACAAGGATTATTGAAGTAGAAATGAAAAGATGAATTAGAAAAAAAAAAGAAGAAGAAATTAGGGTTTGGAGAAAAGAGAAAAAAATGAATATTTTTGCAGAGTTTCTTTCTGCCTTTAAATTGAAGTTTTATTCAATTATTTTTCTATGCAAATGCATTCTTACAATGATAGGGTATGTCCCTATTTATAGACGGAAATTGCTTGCACACTAAACAATCTCCAATTAACCTAACTAACTCAGTTAGAATAAAATAAAGCTAAGTCTAAATTATGTCGAGATACATTTCTTCAATATTTCAATAGTTGTACAATTTTGATACATAAAACATTTCAACATCAATAAATTCTATCAAAATAATACTTTGACACGAAAAATTGAACTTTCAAAAATATCTTAATCTCATCCGTGAAAGGATTCGCTCACCTTAAACGAGGAAGTTTATGAGAATCTTAATTAGTACGTGAGATATAAAAGAAAAAAAGTTTAAAGAAAAAAAGAATAGAAAAAAAGAAATAAACTCTGGCATCTTATCATTCCCGCGGATTTGAACGTTACAACCACTCGTTTTCTTTCTCTTTCTGTCATCCTCCCAAATTCTCGTTGCTTTCTTTCCCTTTCAGACGACAACAACAACAATGGCGCACAGACTCTCACTACATTTCAATCATACTTCTCTCCTTCAAAACCGCAAACTCATTTCACACTCCAACCGCCACTTACCTCGTGATTCTTTGGCCCCTTCCCTTCTCAAGAACACCGCTATCCATTCAACTAACCAATGCATTATATCGTCGAAGCACCGTTTCTTAGGGCTCCTAACCCCTCGCGTAGTTCAAAATTACAATGTCATAGAGGAATCTGAAGACACGGACCAAATCAGCGAGGGTTTTGACGTGGACATAGATAAAGAAGAAGTGAGTGAACTGGTTGAGCAGAGTATATGGATTCAGATGAAGGAAATTGTTTTGTTTACTGGACCCGCAATTGGACTTTGGTTATGTGGACCGTTGATGAGTCTCATTGATACTGCAGTTGTTGGTCAAGGAAGTTCAATTGAACTAGCTGCTTTAGGTATTTTTATCACTTTCATTGTTTAATTACTAAAATTGTGCAGTAACGTATGATGCATATGGCTTTCGTTGTCTGCGAGCAGGTCCGGCTACTGTTTTTTGCGATTATTTGGGCTACTCGTTCATGTTTTTGTCGATTGCTACTTCAAACATGGTTGCTACTGCACTTGCTAAACAGGTTAGTTCCCTCCTGTTATGTGATAGAAAATATTAATGAATATGTATTTGTAAACATAGTTGTGTGAGTGGTTAGTTTCACATTGGTTGTGAATGAGCTAAATGAATTATATGGACGATAGATATCATGAATGTTAAGGTTTTAAGTGGGAATGTTCTATTTTGGTCTTTATTAATCCTGATTATTAACTTGTTGCTCCCTATACTTCACGAATTCTCAAACAAGTGGTATTAGATCTAAGTTAGTTTGACGAGAAAGGGGGAGTAGACCCTTGTATCAAAAGTCTTTATGGCAATGAAGTTGGATAGCGTGCTCTGTTGGTTGATAATGGCAGTGAAAGTATAGTCATGTGAGGGATTCACGATTGATGGAAAGATTGTTAGAGTTCAAGTGAGTGGTTAGTCTTCTATTGACTAGGAATTGACCAAATGACAGATATATAAGATATGTGAACTATATACACCCAACAATGATATAAGCGGAGGATAATATCTAAAGTAATGTATGTGTTACGAGTCCTACATCAGATAATATATGACCTAAACATGTGTTTATAAGTGTGGACAATCCTCACCCTACAAGCCGGTTTTGTAGGGTTGAGTTAAGCCCAACCACATTTCTTAAAGACCTGTAAGCTTTTTGGCATTTTTGTTGCATCACATCCATAACTTATGCACACAGAAATTTTACGTTTTATTGCACTGCCTTTCATGAGTAAATGTGTTTGTGTAGGACAGGGCGGAAGCGCAGCATCACATATCTGTCTTGCTTTTTATTGGCTTAGCATGTGGGTTGGCGATGCTTTTGTTCACAAGGCTTTTTGGTGCAACAACGCTCGTAGGTATTGAAAATGAGATCTCTGTCCAGTTGTGCCCCTTTTTTCCGGATAATAGTACTTCATTAATGCATAAATGGTAACACAGCCTACCCCATCACTGATGAGCTGTTCTATTTATGCCTTTTGCAGCTTTTACTGGACGGAAGAATGTACATTTAGTACCTGCAGCTAATACTTATGTCCAGGTTTTTTTCCTTCTGACTACTATCCTTCAATTAAATTAAGATTGTAATTAATATTTTTAAAACTCAAGAAATTATAAAACAATTTATGGAGAGAAATGAGTAATTTCAATTTTCATTTCTTGTAATAGTAAATAAAGATTTGTATGGCAACATTTCTTTTTATAAACAACAAACCTTTCAAATAAAATTCTGCTTTTGTTTCTTCATTAAATACACATTGAATTGATCAAGGGAAGGTATATCATCCTTTACTTGATTTAGTCACACTGAATTTCTTTTGGTGTTAGATTCGAGGATTGGCATGGCCTTGTTTGCTTGTTGGATTGGTTGCTCAGAGTGCAAGGTGCAAATATACTTTTTTTTCTTCATGTGTGTGTTAAGAGTCTTACATTGGATGAAGTATGACCTTAACATATGGTTATAAGTGGGGTCAATCCTTACCTTAGAAGCTTATTTTGTAAAGATAAGTTAGGACCAACTGACCGGTAAAGTGAGCCTTGTTTCTGCTTATAAACATATGTTCAAGTCATATCTCATCTAATGCAGGACTCTATCTTGGTTCTTTGAACTGTTTGAGTAAAGTGTTATTTTACCTTGAGAGTAGTTTAATGTTGTATTTAGTAGACTGTTGCTTTTTACGATTTTAAATTTAATAATATTGTAACTATTGGGTTCTCATTTAATTCATATTCTTGGTATCCACATTCTTTCACGCAGTCTTGGTATGAAAGATTCTTGGGGACCCTTGAAGGCATTGGTTGCTGCCAGTATTATAAATGGAATTGGTGATATAATTCTGTGTAGATATTTAGGCTATGGGATTGCTGGGGCTGCATGGGCTACATTGGCATCACAAGTAGGTTGAACAAACTCATATTCATCATGTTGTAAATAAGTAATTAGCGTCAGCTTTTTTTGTATTAAGCTTAATCAGACCAGTGAGTTAAAGCTTCCATATTTTGAGATTAGTGTTTGTACTCTTCATACAAATTTAATAATACTTCAGAATATTTTTTCCACACATCATAATTAATTAATGGTATCATATATGGTTTTTCCTATTTTCAATGTACTAAAATAATCAATTTGCACTGCTTTTACACCCCTTCCTATTTTCAGGTTGTTGCTGCGTATATGATGGGCCAAACTCTAAACCAGAAAGGATACAATGTATTTTCCTTCTCCGTTCCTTCAGGGAAGGAATTTCTGGCTATAATTAGTCTTTCCGCTCCTGTATTTATTTCATTGATGCTAAAGGTTGAATACAATATTTTTGTTATATTTGTTGCTCTTTATCTCGAGTAGTCGAACCCTTAAATGTAACTGACAATTTCGATGTTTAGATGGCTTTCTACTCTCTACTTATATATTTTGCTACATCAATGGGTACACATACAACGGCTGCCCATCAAGTTAGTTTTACTCTTGTCTTATATTTTTTCACTATTCCTTTGCCGTCTATCTGCATATTTTCTGAGCACCGAACTCATGATCATTGATAACGCAACTCTTATGTTAGGTCATGGTTCAGATCTTCTGGATATGCACAGTATGTGGTGAGCCACTCTCCCAAACTGCTCAGTCGTTTATGCCTGAGTTGATGTATGGAGTAAATCGGCGTTTGAAAAAGGTTAGTGTTACTCATTCACTGATTTCAAAGGATCTCTCCTTGAACCTCATATATCCAGTATTGCTTTTAGAGCTCTCTATTATGCTCAGTTGAATTTCACATTATATAGGCAGATCATCGTTCTTTTTGGTTTGAAGGGGAGTTTTAAACAATTAGCTGGTGTTTTCTACTAATTTTTATTGCAGATTCTCTCAATACATTGTTATGTATATTCAAAAGTTCCCTGAGTTTATATTATATTGACAGGCTAGGTCACTTCTAAGGTCTCTTGTAACTATTGGAGCTATACTTGGGTTGCTTTTTGGAATAGTTGGAACATTTGTTCCTTGGTTATTCCCCTACATGTTTACACCTGATCAGATGGTCATCCAGGAGGTCAGTTCTTGAATTTTTAAACTTTAGCTCCGAAATTTCCACTATCTCCTCTGTCTACATTGTAGGGGCAGGACTACCTATGGAGCTACAGAGGTTGTTAAGAACTAAACATAGGTTTGAAATTAAGGCTTATGTTAGTGGTTAACTTGTTTGCATGATTATGCAGATGCACAGGATCCTGATTCCATACTTTTTAGCACTAGTGGTCACACCTGCAACTGTCGGTCTGGAGGGAACATTGCTGGTACGCTTGTGTTAGATTAGAATTTAGAATATTTGGATTTTCATTATTTAAGGAGTTTCCGCTTAACTATTCTAGGATCTCTAACTTTGTCTTGTATTTCCTTATTTGTTCCTAGCTTGTTTCTTGTTACTACTCATTCAAACAAAGGCAACTGAATGCATTATATAACAAGTGTTATTTTAAGGTTCTAAGCTAATTGTGGGTATTTGCTTATTCAGGCTGGAAGGGACCTACGGTTTATAAGTTTGTCGACGACTGGATGCTTTTGTTTAAATGCTTTACTATTATCGGTAACAACTTTTTCTTGGTCTGCTGGTGTAAATAGAAATAATTCTTGACTAATTGTTCTCTAACACTCAATTTACATCAAGCCAGATCTTATGTAGTAGATATGGTTTGCAAGGCTGTTGGTTTTCCCTTGTTGGATTTCAATGGGTGAGACTCAAACCTAGAATTTATAGATAGTGCTAGTATTTTTTTGTGAACAAGTTCTGACATGGAATATCGTGTTCATTAGGCTCGGTTTTTTGTGGCCCTTCTGCGCCTTCTATCTCCCAATGGCATCTTATACTCGCAAGATACAAGCCAATATGAACTGCAAAAGTCGAAGACTGCGTAGTTTTGGAGCTACATTTTAATTTTAGTTCATGATACATTATACAAATAGCAGCATGTTGTCAGTTGCTGGCAAATCTTGTTAAATACGTTACAAAATAGGCATTCATTTTAATGTAGGTACAATTCAGTGCAGGAAAACTACTGGTGCTGAGATTTATCGGAAACCAAGCTGAGAAATGGGGATGTGATGTGGGGAAATTGAACCCACCGCCCCTAACATATATCCTCGGTGATCAAAAGAGGTGCAACAGGGTAAAGGTAATCGGAAAACCTTTCTATTTTTATGGTGGCTTTCAACATGAACCAATATTAAATTTATCCATGATAGTTAAATACCCTTTGTAACCAGAGATATTAGATGTTATCTTGTTAACACTGTTAGCATAACTGTTGTTAGTTTGGTTAGTTACAACAGCTTACTATTTTATCTCTTAGTTAGAGTAGTTAGGTTTATTCTTCTATATAAATAAACCTATCTCAATTGTATTATTGTTATTCAATTCAATGAATAATGATGATTCAGTTTACGGCTCCCCTCTCAACTATGAGAGTACTATGGTTTAAGATATTTCTTTCCTTTCCGCATGCATTCACAACATAACAATCGTTTCCTTATTTTCTCTGGGTTCATCAGTCCCTTCCTTTGATATTTTTTCCGAAGAATCCCTTCCTTTCTCTTCAATGGCAGATTCAGATGATAACTCTTATGAATTCGGCATTAACAACAACATTTATAATCCTTCCGATCATTGATCCAATCAAGATCTTAGCCAAAACCCTATAAATTTGTATCACCTTCATCCCAATGCGAACTCAGGATCAATCCTCGTCTCCCACCTCTCGATGAAAACAACTACCATAATTGGAGCAAATGCATGAAAACAGCTCTTGCATCAAAGAACAAAATGACATTCATCAATGGCTCTCTCCCCCATGCGGCACATTCAGATCAAATTTTTGAACTATGGAATCATTGCAACAACATAATGCACTCTTGGATTGCACAAACATTATCACCGCGCATTGCACAAAGTGATACTTGTTTTGACACAACTTCAAATCTCTGGACAGATTTGGAAGATCGATCTTAAAAAAGGAATCACATTAGACTTTTCGAATACTCAAATATCTCCACTCCATATAAAAAAAGTGGATGTTCTTTATCAAAATACTTTACTTATTATCTCAAGATTATTTGGGTGAATTGGAATTTTTGAGACCTACACCATTTTGCGCCCGCATCCTTAATTCTTCAATTCAGAGATACAAACGCATTGAATATGTCATTTTCTTTTATAAAGATTTTAATGAAATAATTACCGCAATATGAGAACTCTGATCTTGCTAATGAATCCCTTACTTTCTTTAAGCAAGATCCTATTACCTTACTTGTTAGTTCCTGAATCTATCAATTCTCAACAAAATAAAGGCTAAAACTATCAATTCAAAGGTAAAGGAAAACAGAAGCCTGTAAACTTGATGCTATACAGCCACTGTAACAAAATCCCCCATACAGTGGACAATTGTTACTTTAAACATGAATTCCTCTGGGACACACATCCAAAACTCAGCTGAATAATGAGTCTACCAATGAAGGAAAAAATCCAACATCAACCCTTCCAAGGATGACTCTCACTCATTAAGCAAAGAAGATTATCAATTTCTTGTCCGACATAAAAAACACTCCATCCAACAAGCAACAATCTTCTGTCAATCACCTTATTTCCAGCATTACAAATCAAGGTAACAATTGAAAGAATTCTAACTTTTGGATACTAGACTCAAGTGCTTCAGATCATGTTTTCCCTAAACACTCCATCCAATACACAGCAATCTTTTTTCAATTACCTTGTTTCTATTACTTTTCCAATGAAAATGCTATATCTGGTTTATTTTCTGGCACTATACACCTCATTAAGATTTTATATCTCCAAGATGCCTTGTACATACCTCAATTCCATTTTAGTCTTATTTCAATTTCTAAAATTACTCGATCCTTAAATTACAAATTGGTGCCTCACAAAATTTATGTGCGCTTCAGGATATGGATTCCAAACAGAGGATTGAGAATGTGGAACTGTAGAACAGTCTCGATATACTTAACCATCCCAGCACTTACAAACCTAATCAAATTGTTTGTAACTCTTAGAATACTGCTGCTTCTGCACCTAAAACGGCCAAATCATTTTATTTTTGAAGTGACAGATTAGGTCATCCTTTTACAAGGTTGCAAGGCGCTATATGGGCTAAGTTTTTGTAGAAATGGCCCATTTACTTGATTGACCTCATCCATAATATAGCTTTGGTCTGCCTCTATATTTTCCACAATCCCATCGCTTCGTCAAATGGAGATTCGTTGGTGCAGTGAGGATGGAACTGCACCTCCTCCATGAATCCACTCTCGACCAAGGAGCAGATTATAGTTTGCCTTTGATGTAATCACCATGAACATTGTTGGCCTTGTAATCGTGCCAACTTTCAGATCTACTTGTATGACCCCCATAGTGGTGCCCACTTTCCCTTCATAGTTTGAGAGGACCATGTTGTGGGGCTTTGTATCAGAGTCATTCTTCCTAATTTTTTCAGCATGTAGTGCGACATCAAGTTTACAGCTGCTCTGCCATCGACTAGAATCTTATTGATCCCAACATTTTCTATTTTACCTTTGATAAATAGAGGTTTTAGATGATTCTTCGTGGTCTCGTCGGGCCTTTCAAAGAAGGAATTTTGCTCTTCGACACAACCATTGTTTAATATATAATAGCAGACTGGCTTGTGACTAGCCACCTCCATTTCAACTTCGTCTTCTTGTTCGTCCATCTCCGTAACCCTATCGTATTCTCTAGGTAGTACGGATAATACATTACTTATGATATCTAACAACGACTCTGAACCCGAATCGGAGTCATCTGCCATCATGTCGTCATCTGCTGCAACTTGGTTAGATTTTCCCCTTTCTTCCTCCTTCTGGTTAGCAAACAACTTTCTTTCGCCTGGTTTCTTTTCGACAGGTTTCCTGTCCTCCTTCATGTCCTTCTTGACTGGCATGTTGCTGCTTGACTAAGCTTTTTCTTTCTCTGCAGCCTCCCTTCCAGCTTTACGCCTCCTCTATTGTCGTCTCCACTGACATCTAGACATTGGGGTTTTTCCTTTATAATTCTTAGAGCGCCATGCTGATTGTTTGGAGGCTTGAAACTCTCTACGGTAGACTATTGACGAACCTCTTTTCACTTTGAAGTTCTGCCATTTTTTCTGTCCTTGATCCCTTTTTTCAACTGGTTTTACCCATTTGCCCCTAGGGACGTCAGCAATGGGTTTGAATGTGGCAGACTTATTTCCACGTAGCCTGTTAAAAAAATGTGGTTGGGCCTAACTCAACCCTACAAAACTGGTTGGTAGAGTGAGGATTAACCCCACTTATAAACACATATTCATGCCGTATATTGTCCGATGTGGGACTCTTAACACACTCATTCACGCTCAGGACTAGACAACCGAACCTTGAAAATAAATGGTGGGTGGTCTGATAGCGGAAATCATAGAAGGTAGCCCACCGGATCTTAAACGAGTCTCTTGATACCATGTTAAGAAATGTGGTTGGACCTAACTCAACCCTACAAAACCGGTTGGTAGAGTGAGAATTACCCCCACTTATAAACACATGTTCATGCCATATATTGTCCGATGTGGGACTCTTAACACAACCCTTGTCCACTTTGATCATATCTCCTAGGTGTTTCTTTCCTGTCGAAGGCATCGTGGTTACCAGAATCCCTCCAGTTATTCTAGACCTTGGCACGCCGAACTCCCTGTATGTTCTCTGCAGTCTTCCTGTCGAAGACCGCGCTGCACCTGGGGCACAACATTACTTTAGAGTTCTTTCTTTGACATCTATGGAGGAATTCGACCATATTCTCCTCCTACTTAGGATAAGCCACCTTAACATACTCTTCCTGCTTGAGGCTGTGTTCGTCCACCTCCACTGCAGATTCTTGGGTCATTTCGCTCATATTGACCCCTAAATTGGCACCCTCAGTGATGCCCAATTCTTTAAATTTGATCCTAAGGCCTTCAGTAGCCTTATTTTCATTTTTAACTTGTATGAAACCTTCAACAGTCTCATGGGTTGTAATTATTTTGTTGGAACCTTCAATGGTCCCTTTGTCGAAGCCTTCAGTAGCTTCCTTGTCGAGACCATCAGTGATCTCTTGGTTTAAGTTTTCAGTAACTTCCTGGGTGAAACCCTCAACGTTATACTTGTTTGAGTCCTCAGTGACCCCTCCAACGAAGTCTTTAGAAACTTCGATCATCACAACGTCGTTGGCGAAGTCCTCAACAACTTCTACCATGTTGACCATCGAAGGTTCAGAGGAATGTGCATATGCTACAGGGAGAGGATCAAAGTCTATCTTCATCTAGTTCTTTGATTTGTCAGCAAACCCGAGCCCTCCCTCCTTGATTATGTTTTGAATAATATCCATGAAAAGAAATCATTGAGAAGTTTTATGACCCAAAAAGTCATGGTATTTACAAAAACCTATCTTTTTCTTTTGCTCTAAAGGAGGCATTTTAGCACCAGGGGCACTATCATCTGGCCATCCTTAACTAGCAAATCACAGATTTCGTCACACTTAGTAACATTGAAGATATAAGTTCTTTTAGGGAACCTATCGCTTTTCTCTGAATCAACTGAATTTTTTCCATTCGACGGTGTTAAGACTTTACAGGAATAAGGTGGACCTTGCTTTAGTTCATCAAGGTCGATTTTGCCTTTGTCAAAAATTGAATCACTACTCATTTCTTGTTCGTCTTCGTCATATTTGACGTAGGACACCCTTTCTTTCCTATGATTCTTGTTTGCCCTGACTTTCTCAGCCTTCAGGTGTTCTACCTGTCGAACTCTATCAGCTAACTGGGTCATGTCTCTCAGGTATTGTGTATCTAATTTCTTCCTAATTGAGTAATCAAGGCCACTGACAACCATTTCGACCAACTCATGCT